TCTGGGCAGGTTTGTCGTCTTTGGCGTGCTCTATATGGTTTGAAGCAATCTCCTCGTGCTTGGTATGATCGCTTTTAGACTGCTGTTAATGAGCTTGGGTTTCATCCTTCTGCTTCCAACTCTGCTTTGTTTCTGAAACATACCTTGGTTGGTTTTGTTGCTCTCTTACTATATGTGGATGATATGATCATCATTGGTTCGGACTCTTCTGCTATCTCTGAGATCAAGCAGCATCTTTTCCTCACATTCGAGAAGTAGGATCTGGGTCCATTGCAGTATTTTCTTGGTATTGAGATTGCTTCTTCTCCAAAGGGCTATTTTCTGTCTCAGGCTAAGTATGTTAATGATGTCATTCACTGTGCTGATCTTATTGATACTAAGGTTTTTGATACACCTATTGAGCTTAATGTGAAGCTTAACTCTACTGATGGTGCCCCCCTGGATGATCCTACTTCATATCTCGAGCTTATGGGTTGCTTAGTCTATCTAATGGTTACTCCGTCCTGATCTTGTCTATGTTGTTCATGTGGTTAACCAGTTTGTTTCTGCTCCTCGCACCACACATTGGGCTACATTGGTTTGGATTCTTCGCTATCTTCGAGGTACTGTATTTCAGGATTTACTATTGTCCTCTACTTTTTCTCTGGATTTGGTGGCCTATACTGATTCTGATTGGGCTGGTGATGTTATTGATTGCAAGTCCACGTATGGTTTCTGTATGTTTCTTGGTGATTCCTTGCTCTCTTGGAAAAGCAAGAAACAAACTATTGTTGCTCGTTTTACTGCCGAAATTGAGTACTGTGCTATGGCTCGTGCTGCTGTTGAGATTGTTTGGCTTGTTGTCTCTTAACTGATTTGGGTGTCCCTCAGTCTTCTCCGACCTCCCTCTACTATGACAACCGTAGTGCTATTCAGATTGCTCATAGCACTGTCTTCCATGAGTGGACCAAGCACATTGAGATTGATTGTCACTTTGCTCATCACCATTTGTAGTCTGGCTCTATCTCGCTTTCTTTCGTCTCTTTGGCTTTGCAACTTGCTGATTTCTTTACCAAAACTCGCACCATTGCTCGGTTTCAGTTTCTTCTTGATAAACTCTCAATGTTTTCTGCTAAAACACTTTGAGAAAACACTGAGAGTTTGAGTTGGAGTGGGAGAATGTTACGTTTCATGTATATATGGTACTTTATATATTCTGTATATATTAGGGATTTTGTTTCCTTTTTTCAGTTCTAGGGTTAGCTTGATATATAAACCAATATATTCTTGTATTTTACACAAAATTGAATATACAAGTTTCTTAAAAAACTTACAGTGGTATAGGGTTCGAGATAGAGAGATCAATGCAGCATATTAGTTTTTGAGCATCCAACCATGGTAAGGCCTGAGAATTCGTGAATCCTAGAGTTGCCAAAAAAAGATGAGATGGCTTGTAACTAGAGGCCCATCTTTCCTCATCAAATGACTGCATTGTGAAAGGGAAAGCAATGTCAAAAGTGATGAAGTAGACCACTTTGCTGGTGGTCTATAGAAAATAGGGATGGGTCTCTTCTTTTTTTATTCTTTTCTTTTTTCTCATAAGATGAATGAAAAAGACATGCAAGGGAAGATTTAAGTCCTTATTTTTCGATTGTGATATTATCAATTTGATGAAAGAATAAGGGGGTTTTCCTATATATCAGAGAGATTGAGCAATTGTCACTGTTATAGATATTCTATGTTAGATATTTAAATTTTAAAATTTAAGAGATTAACTATTTATTTATTTATTTTTTCACAAAAAACAACTTGTTTCATTGAAATAGCGTGATAACATTATATACATGTAGGCTATGCATTTCCTCATTTTTCATTCATATTTTCGTAGGTTGTTTGACTTACAATGGAAGGCGGGGATTTGAGGTTGGAGATGTCACTTTCGTGGCGTAAGATGTGGGATCGCTCCTTTCTAGGGTGGATAATGCTAGGAAAAGGGGTTCCAAAAGCCAAGTATAAGTAAACATAGAGGATGTTTGGCTCTAGGTTTAGAGTTGGACGTGAGTTTAGAGCTATGAAGCACGGGTACTCCGAAATTGTTGTCGTACTTGTACCGATAGGGTTGCATGCATATTGGGTATGTTTTATACATTATTTGGCAGTTAAGTACTTCGTGGGTACATGATGGGCACATCGGTGTACACCAAGCTATGGGGTGGAGTGAAGATACGTTTAATTTATTAGAGAGTTTTGATTTACTTGAAATTACAAATTCTTTACTTGATGTGTCAGAGATGAAAGATGTATTATTCAATGATGATATTGATGGAAGTAAAAATTGAAGTTTCAAGTTTTCAAATTTTGTTTAGCTTGCTTTTGGAATGAAACTTTATTTTGTAATTTCTTCTATTTAATGGCATTAAAATAGCTTTTGAACTTTGCTTTGGTATTGGTATTGTTGAACTATGATTTCTCTTTTGGTTTTGTAATTTCTCCTTTTAGTTTTGATATTGAACTTTGATTTGTAGGTTGTTTCAAACTATAAATTATAAAAATAAAAAAATTATTGACGTGTCCTAACCGTACCCGTATCCTATTTTTTTTAGGTCTTGCAGTATCGGTATGCCTGTAATGTACCCGCGCTAGTATTAGTACCCACACCCATGCTTCATAGATTTAGAGTGAATGAGTTGTTCTATATACTTCAGAGTGTGAGGTTGTCTTTGGTACTGCGATCAATGTTTGCCAAATAGCATTTGGTGCAGAGCTGAGGGGGGTTGTCAGCCTTCTTGAAGACATACATGATATGCAGTCACATCAAGTGTGTCGTAGAGGAGAGCTTCCAGATGGGCTATTGTACCAAGTGCGTGGTAAATGGATTGGCTGTTTTGGTTACTTACTTTATTGGTCTTGGACACAAGGGTTGCGATTCTGGAAGTGTTCTGAAAGCATGGAAAATAATAGCATTATGCTTGATTCATGGTTTTCATATTTTTGAATAGAGGAAATTTTTGTGAGTACTCTTTTGCTCTTGTATACTTTTTGGGAGAGCTTTCTTTTGGTAAGGGGTTATAAAATTGTATACATCTGGTGTGCATAGGTTTTGCCCTTCTGGCTGTTTTTGGAATACAATTATGCTACGTTTGATTCACGAACAAAATTAGGTTTGGGTACTTGTACCACACTCGATACATTGTGAGTTCCTCGGGTGCCACATCATCAATACCTTGCCTACGTGGCAGACCTACAAGGCAACACATGTCCTCATAGGACTAATTGGGATTGTGTGCCTAGCTTAAACGGGGGCATACACACCACAATAATGAGTCACAGTATGAAGAGGCCAACAACAGAGCCAGGCTTGCTAGGCAGCAGCACTATGGCCAGCTATGAAGCACGGGTACGAGTACGGGTACGATACGGGTACATCGATACGGTAAAATTCAAAAAAAGTAGGGTACGGGTACGGGTATGGCTTGGTACGCTTGTAAAAAAATATTTATTTTTAATTTATAGTAATGCAAAAATTAATTAAATGGTTTAATTTGTTAAGATTCAACCTATAATTAACATTTAATGCCAAATGTAAAGGTATAAACCAAAATTAAATATCAATATATCTTACAAACCATAGTTTAATTTTAAAAACATGGTAAGTATAAAACTAAAAATAAAAAAGAAGTCTAGTTGAAGGAGTTTTATCTCTATAGTACAAGAAAATATTGTTTCAACTGAGGTACGGTACGGTACGGCTTGGGTATATAGTAAGTACGTCTGGGTACGCCAAAAATTAAGAAGAAAAAATTTAGGTACGTGTTTTGTGTACCCAGTACGTATGCAGAAGTACCATACGAGGTACCATATGCCGGTAAGTACCCGGTACGGGTACGGCATGTTTTTCGAAGTACCCATACTTCATAGATGGCCAGCTTTGAACGGGGGCATACACACCACAATAATGAGTCACAGTATGAAGAGGCCAACAACAGAGCCAGGCTTGCTAGGCAGCAGCACCATGGCCAGCTTTGAGCCCGTGGTCTTTCATACCTTACTCACTAACCCATCCAATAGCAGCATAGTCTGGCCCTTGGCTCACTTGTGTTCATTGGGCTGCTGAGGCCAAGGCTATGGGATCGTCTAGGTCTTACTTGGCTGTCTTCCTGACTGCTCCACCTTGACCGGGCTTGGAGAGAGCTGATGTGGGCCTTACACTGGTGCCTCTGTTGCATGCATAATATGTTGCCTTCATACCTGCCAGGCAGAATATCAGATGGTAGTAGGGCTGATATCAGCTTCTTGTTGACTTGGGAAGAGCTGCCCACCTGTATTCTAGGAGCTTATAAATGTGTCATGTATGCAGCAGCCAACACACCAACATATCAACAATCTTCATTGACATCACAATACACAAGTGTTCAAGGTCTTTCACTGCCAACCTCTCTATCTCTAAGCCTGCTTTGGCCTTCTCTTCTCCACCTCTGATGATCTTAGGCCATTGAAGTGCCCGCCATCTTCCTAGAGGTCTATAATGGACCACCTCTCACATCTCTTACCCACAAGAGGGATACATTATCCTGGGATTATAATTCTGGGATAACTTATCCTGGGGAGGTTATTTTGGAATTTTACAATAAAAGTGTTATCTCGGGATTTGTTATCCCACTCCTGCCCTAGAACAAAATAATCTCACATATGTGGGATAAAAGGCCCCCCTTAGGATTAGTTATCTTGGATCAGAAAGTTTGAACCAAATACATGATTATTTTATCTTGAGTTTATTTAATCCGATCCTGCCCCCTTATCCATAAATCAAATACGGCCTTACTTTATTCATCAAAAATACGTTAAAAAAACTACTGCTGACCCAAAATAGATGGAGGAAAAGAAAAGATGTTGCAAAGAGTCTGGTACTCACTCTCTGATAGTGGGGGGTTAGATGTGCGTGCATTTACATAGTTATCTAGTTAGTCCTATAGGTTATTTTACTCAATTATTTTATGCATTTTTAATCTGCTGATCAACAGGTGGTTCTCTCTCTATCGATTCTCAGCTTCCTTGGTGCCATTTCACTGCAGAATTTGTTTATTATAGGTTTGTTCTGTCTTGCTCTGTCTTTCTGTGCCTGTTTATTATAAATTGAGGAACATTTTTAAAATTTAATTTCAACTTAAAGTGCTTTTAAAAATATTTTCAATCTTTCCCCACAACATCTTTGATGATAGTTGCAACTTGCAAAGAGACCTCAAATTTTAGGATTTGATTGCGGCTCTGACTGGAACATTTTCTTCTTATCATTTCAGGACTCCCCATTGCCTTTGTTGCTTTCTTTGTGTACGAGAAAAAGGAGGAAGAGATCGATGGTCTGGTTTTGCAAATTTTCTCATTTGGATGCAAATTCAAATCTGATATTACCAGAAAATGCCTTAAATCTGAGAAGATTCAGTAATAGCGAACAATTGACAAATCCAATGTTTTTCGCATAAAATTTGTGTGGTTTTTTTTTTTTTTTCATCTGTCATTTTGTAGTCTGAATTTTTTGTAGTGTCAGATGTACTTAAATTTCTGGTTTGGTCAATTGGGTTGATTTGTTCTTTCTGGGGAGCTCTTTACTCTTATTTTTCATTTTCTCTATTACTATTATTTTGTTTGGACAGAGCTAATGTATTCCAAAGTTTGTAATATGAACATTGTTAGTGTTGGAGATAAATTACTTTTTATTTTTATAGAGAGGGTACATATACATCTAGATGATGATTATACACAATCATAAATTAAAGCTAAGAACTATAGTCATCTTATGGCATAGACAGCCTACAAGTATGGGGTCACAGTAATAATACAGTTGTAGGAGCATTGTGGGGGTGAAAGTAGAAGGAATATTGTCATTCAAAAAGTGGGACTTGTGATGAATGCAACTTTGTGTCATATAATCATATTATCTTGTTCAGTATTTATTCCTCAAAGTTGCACCTGCTTGAGTTAATATTAAATGTAACGGTAATATTATATGATAGTATTGTTATTTAATGATCAATCTTGATTTGGGTTAGTGGTAGAGAAGACTTATTCACTTATTCTTTTTCATCTTTGCAATCCCTTTCCAATGTTTTGTATACTTTTATGCAAGTGAGAATAGTTATTCCATTTAAATGGTCATTTCAACATAGAAGTAAGAATACCTATGAAGTGGGAATACTTGTAACACTATAAAACAAAATAATAATAATAATAATAATAATTTGAAAAAATTATATATATATATATATATAAAAACTCTAGAGTTTGAGATTTTTTTTTTGATGACTCTAAATTTTTAATTTTATCAATTTAAATAATTTTTTTTGAGAAAATAGATTATAATCTTTTGATTAGTTTTTAATCTAAATCATGTGTTGATTTTTATCAAGTAAAATTGATGGAAAAAAAATGATATTTTAGTTATTAATGAAAAAAATATATTTTTGATTTTTTTTTTCTAATTTTTTTGTGAACCTTCATTGAGTTTAATGACTCAAATATGCTTTTTTTTAATCAACTTTACTTAATGAAAATAGGTGGATGGTTTTAATTAAAAATAAATCAAAATATTAGAATTCAAATTAATAAAATTAAATACTCAAAGTTTATTTTGTTACAAGGGGTCCAAATTGTGTGTGTGTGTGTGTGTGCGCGTTTTTTTTTTTTTTTTTCTTTCGGGGGAGGGGGGGTGTTTAAGTATATTGGTGTGTATCTGTGAATAAATAAGTGAGTGAGTGTGTATTCTATGTGTGTGAATGTAAGAGTGAGAGGTAGTGATTTTATTAAGTGTCTGAAAAAAAGTGTTGGGTGTTTATATATCATTGATATTTACTTGCTCCTTCCTTTTTCTTGTCACCACTGGATCTGAGGATGTGATGGGATTAGTGATGTAGTGGAGAATGATGTTGTTTTGCTTGAAAAAATGGTTGGATAATTGTAAAAAATCATTGCTAGAAAAAGAGAGAGAGAGAGAGAGAGAGGGGGCTCAGATAAAATGATGTATGCGTATGGGTTGAGAGAGGGCCAGATACAAAATAAGGGTTGAGAAGGGGCGTGCGGTACACCGCATTCGGAGGCGTTTTTCAACGCCTCCTATTATAAAACGGCGCCGTTTTGGTTAAAAGAATATGCGGCGTTTATAAAACGCCGTTAAATGTTAATAACAGTGACGTTTAGAAAAACGTCGTTAAAAAAACGCCACCATAACCTTTTTTTCCTGTAGTGACGTCTTTTCTAAGGCTATTTTCACCTTAATGATAGCAATTCGCTGGTTATAAGTTACTATGAACTGTCTGGCATGCAATAGATAAAAAAGAAAATTTAATTTATTTACCTGATTTTCTAATTCAGGAACATATGCTAAATTACTATCTATTTTAGATCTTATTTTTGCAATTAAAAGAAAAATCAGGAACATATGCTAAATTACTATCTATTTTAGATCTTATTTTTGCAATTAAAAGCATACGGAGGATTGAAACAAACTTAACCTAACATTTTAGGGGTTGATACATTAACTACTAAATATAACGGGCATTTCGATAATTGTCGGCTATTTTTGACATTTCGAAGGTTAGAAATGTAATTCAAATGTGCTAGTAAAGATATGAAAAGTCGTTACAAATAATAAATGTCAATTTTTATGAAGCGATGTATTAAGGTTCTCTTATCCTCAATAAAGAGGACTTTACTGTGTTGTGTTGAAAAGATGAACCAAAACTTTAACTCAAATTCGTAACAGAATGGGAGAGAGAGACTGGGCAGAAACTGCAATTAATTAACTGAATAAACAATTACAAAATGTTAACTTTAGTAAGAGCAATTTCGAAGCTTTTGAACCAAATGGGTTTTGAAATTACAAGGCTAATTTACTCCTACAGAATGTAAGTGTAGAGTATAAAAGTAAAGTGCAAAAATTTAAAGATAAATGAAATTGACAAAGGCGTAGAGTTTGAATTTGATCAGGGGTCTCTTCAGTCTTTGCTTCCATCTATTTATAACCTTCTCTTGGTGCTTTTGAACCAATTAGACTACTATCTTTTGCCATGATCTCCTTCATTCTCGCTACTTTTAGAGCCACAATCTTCCTTTCGTGCATGTGTAACTGCTTGCAAATACTCCTTATTAACTTATTCTTCACTTGTCTTTCACATGTTACTCATCATATTTTGCGGTTGAAGACTTATATTCACAGCTCACGTGGCCATCTTTGAAGGTGGGACTCTTTGGTATTTGAATACCCTTTGTTTTCTATGTGTCGCCTTCATATTGGATGGTTTAAATGTGGCGCCAACAATACCCCCCGTACTAGTGTAAGCATAATGGTTACGCTAGTGAGCATAACTTTTGGCAGTTTCTTTTCTTCCACGGTCACGACTCCTTAAATGTAGCATTTACAATCAATTACCTCCGTGATCTTTTAGCTTGCACTCTTAGGTTTTTGTATTTAGTGAGGCTTGAACTAAGAAAATAAGACCCATTAGCTCCAACGACTTCGAAGAAATGGCTGCCTTGGATATGAAAAAGTGTGATGCTGAGGTTGTTGAGGTTATGGAGGTCGATATGAACATAACCGATTGTCCTGCGTCTCCAAAACTAGATTCTCGTCTCAAGGCTATTCATGTGATTTCACCTATTTCATTCTGCAACTAGAGCATCTTGATGTATCTAAATCACTCTGCTCAGGTTGCGATGCACCTTCCTCTTCTCATTTAAGTGACATGGCTCCTGGCTGGGGATCTTTTCTCTCTTCCACTGGCTGGGATACCTAGGAACCACTTGTAGTGCCTACTACTTGTTTCAAGATTCATCATCATTTCTTAAAGTGAGTGGACCCTAGCATTATCCTATCCAACCATCGGAGCAGGGTTAAATACCCTTACCAACCTCTATTTGAGAATCTCAGGCTTGAAAATTGTTTTCTTCATCCTTAGCATATGTCTTCTGCCATTCTTCAACCCACAAAAAAGATTTTTTCTGATGGGACCTCGTTGGACTTCACCTCTACTCTTGATGAGGCCTCATTGGGGTTAGACCCTACCATGTTGGCCAAACAAGCTGAATTATTGCCCTCTAATTAGCTCGAATACGTAACTGAGGCACGATATCCCGTTGGGTTTCAAGCTGAACTTTCATTGCCATTTCTTCCTTATGAACCCCAATGGATTTCGGAGCTTCGAATGGCCATCGAAGATTGCATCCTAGATACCCTTCAACCATCATACTCTGCCTTTGGTCATGCTAGGTCTTAAGCAAAAGGGCTCTTAGCACCCTTCAGTCATCTCCTCTTTGATATCCGACACAATGAGATTCCTCACAAGAACTTTCTTTGGGCTTTATGATGTACTTATTCGAAGCCATTCTCTTAATTCTGCTGCATTTATTGAAGCTAAGACTTTTCTCTACTATCTCTCATCTCCCTTGAACTGGCATGCTCTATCTGAAGCAGAACGCCACACCTTGAGGATTCAGATAGCTCTTATTTGGGCACTAAATATGAGGCTCTTGGGATTTTATATGACTTGGATAATCTTGATCAACTCTCTGACTTTGATGATCATTGCCCTTCCCAAGAATTTCAAGAGTTTGCAAACTTCAGAAAGCTTAAGTGAGAATCTTTGGAGAGCCTAGCAAAAGAGTCCTTATTGAGACTCATGTCTTTGCAGTCTCAGCAATACGCAGTAGACACAATAAAAGCGAGGCCGAAAAAAGAAGACGGAAATAATTTTAGGTCAAATTTCATGACCTTCTAACTTTTTCTTTTCCCTACTTTTATGAGGTTAAAATTGTCTTCTTGTAATTTTTCGCATCTTCTAATCAAATGAAGACTTTTTCAATTATGTGAACTTTGTATGTACCGTTTTGTTTTTAGTCCAATTCTTGCATTAGTCCGACATTCGAAGGTTAAGAATTCACTGACAATCATCTTACCAGTTAAAACAATTAACGTTTTTAACGGCTTCAAAGCAATTTGCAACTTTAAAATTATCTTCCCAAGGCTAGAAAACGATCAACATATTCTTGGAACCCCACAAGGTTCCATGCTTAGAAACACATTTTTCTTGGGAGCCTATATTTAAATGCTTGGTCTAATTTAAACTTTATATTGTTTTTATGTGGACATTTCTTGAAATAACCCGACCTGTTTGAAGAGAGAAACATATAAATAGCTAACCGTTTGCATGAGCTTCACTTATGGTTCATCTTCAAGACTTACTCTGACTTTTGCACTTTGACTTTCAAACCCTAGCTTTCACACCAAACAATGGCGTCTGGTTCTCAAACTAACGCATCCATGGAACTCTATCATTTAACTTTTGAATTTAACTCAGAAGCTAACCTTGTTACAAGCCCTGTTGACACTTGTGTCTTCATCCCCCAAAACACTAATGGGGTATTTGGTTTGGCTCTTGCATTCAAGGGTACTCCTCTAGTCGAGATGGCGCACTTGTATCCTCGCCTTGAAGATCATATTCTTCAAGGCCAAAGTCAGTTACATTGGGATTCTTGGTCCGATGACAAACCATTTTGAATGTGGCCAATGGTTAATGGTGAGTGGATTGACTGGTATGAAAGAGTGACTTCAAAAAGGAAAGATACCTTGTCTCAAGCGGGTATCCTTTCATTTATCCGCTAATTAAGTACTCCATCCCTCAGCATCCTTACTTGATTCATGCTGCTATTTGCTTCTAGAACCCTTTGCATT